ACCTATTACCAGATTAATGTTACCTATTACCTATCACCAGATAAATGTTACCTATTACCTATCACCAGATAAATGTTACCTATTACCTATCACCAGATAAATGTTACCTATTACCTATCACCAGATAAATGTTACCTATCGCCTATCACCGGATGAATGTCACCTGTCACCTATCACCAGATGAATGTCATCGCAGCATCGCTGTCGCAGTAGAGAAGATGACGATGATGCGGGTGCTGCTACCTGTTCACTGTAGGAACAACATAACCGTGGTGACGCAACATCGTTGTTGTTGTCGTTGTTGTTGTTGTTTAGTGTCGCAGGAATAGCAGGGTATCGGGGAAAAGAAGCCCATGCAGCGGCAATAGCAACACGGTGACGAAGATGCGTGGTAGACACACATGCACGCGCGGGGAAGGGTGGTTTATCCTGCATGGGAATCCACCTTGTTGCCTTCCATAGCGATCGGCGTTTGTTTCGCAAACACCAGCTAACTCACTCGGCACTCTTGTGACGTAGCTGGGGTGCGCATCGACGGGAAAATCGAGGTCGGTTGGCGACCGACTTACTGATGTCACACCCGCGCGTGAAGAATTATCCCTGTAGGCCCCCTAAACTCCTGCAATCAATACCTGTTAAGGCATAGGCAGGCGACTGACTAGTGGTAGTCGTAGCGAGTCACGCCACGCACGTAAATGGAACGTGAGTGTTATGAATTCTACATCGTACCGTGCTCCGCGAGTAATTAACGGTAAAAGCTTTAACTCTGGGCGTCCATTCGCCAATATTAGCTAGTCGATACAGAGCAAACAATCGCTGACTGTTTCTGTTCACTGCTGCTCGGAAAAATTTCAACTTGGCGCGTACTGAGTAGCACCTTATTTCTCGATTATGTCGCAGTTTCCAGGTAATATTTATAGTAGCACATCGATTACCTTTGTTCACGTTAATCGTTGGCTAATTGTCGACTGTGTGCACAATTCTAGGTGCTACGCACACGGTTAAAGTGTCTAGGAAATAAATAGAGCACGTGGCGCCTATTGTTATAATAAAGGCGCTATAGCCTCAGCCGTTATCACAAGTAAGTATCGCAAGTCAAAGTATGTATCGCTACGTCTTAGATAAGACAGTTGTATCTTTCTTTCCAACTAGGTTTTAGTATTCCTAAGCGGTATATTATCTTATATAGCCGAGCGTTCTTTAAGCAGTATCTTATGACAAATATGTCTTGTAAGAAGAAAAAACTACACAATATGAGACGTTAATTTATAACCGGCTTGAGCGTGTCACGTGATACTCGACATGCGAGCCATCACGCACTTCCTACGCATGCGCAGTACTAACATGCTAGCAAAACAAACGAACAGTCCATCACTCGTTTTATTATTATAAGTTAGGGGTAAAATTCTTGTTGTTACAAATTAGGTTGATTAAGCAATAACGTTTACAGTAGGACAGACCGCCACTTATTTTGTTATCGTAAGTTAGGCTGATATTTACCCTCTCTTATTCCCTCGCTTCATATCTCGCTCTCTTTAGCTTTCCCTCCATCGCCATGCTTTCATTCCTTCCCTCTTCTCTCATTTGCCCACTCATAGTTCGCGTTCGTACGAATACAACTACTACACTGACTACACTAGCAGTAACACAATAGTCTGTATAATATATCTGTTATATAACTCACGCCGATGTGTGCAGTACCGTACTTGGTCGTCGTGACCGTGTTAAATCGTTATTAAGATTGCTAGGCAAGGTGTTCCTACTTGCTACATCCACCTGATTTTTGCACCAGGGAGAAATACACATTTTACATACCAGGGTATTCGCTTATTTAGAATATGTCATGTGCTATTTTCAATAATCCTGAATAGCCGAGCTCGTAGAGCACGACGTTACGTCTGAAAGGTCGTTGGTTCGAATCCGATCTGTTTCTTTTTTCTTTTTTTCTTTTTAGGGTTAGGGTTAGGGTTAGGGTTAGGTTAGGATTAGGGTTAGGGTTAGGGTTAGGGTTAGGGTTAGGGTTAGGGTTAGGGTTAGGGTTAGGGTTAGGGTTAGGGTTAGGGTTAGGGTTAGGGGTAGGGTTAGGGTTAGGGTTAGGGTTAGGGTTCACAATGCGTATACATGTGTACACATGCATGTGTATTATGGACCCGAGCGATCCCGAAGTTGCGCCCTACTACCGTTCGGCTATTTCCGGAAAAATGTGTATTTCTCCCCGGTACACGATTCCATACACCGTCACTCGCTCAGTCAGCAGCAACTGATCATGCCATGTGTGTATTACATGACACTTACCGTGCACTAATTATCGTATATGGTGTATTATTATTAGGTAGAGTGATTGCAACGTCATCACGAGGTTAACGTCGATTTCTAATGCTTACGAGATCCTGCGATAACCTCGCGTCTTTACCAGAAACCTTGAGTAGGATTTGTATGATGCTTAGCTGGACGAGCTGGCGGGCACAAGCCACGTGTAGCGGCAATTGGCCTCTATCCTGAAACACAGATGATTACAATAATGAAGAACATGATCATGACACCTATTCGATATGTCCGTTGATATGTTAATATAATATTGAACTAATCTTATACGCTTACGCCCACGATATATGTATATATATATGTATATATATACATAACACATAATGTACATAACCACACATTATATATATATATAAATTATATAATATTATATGTATATATATTAATATATATATATATATATTGAATTAATGTGTGCGAAAGCTCAGGTAATTGTTTAATGTAAGCCTATAATGCAGCCCTATGTGGGCGTTCGTAGCAACAGGGCATATGGCGCTAAATTGGCGGTGACCACCAGGGAAATTAGGTTTTCCCGAAAACAAGCAACGCAGGTAGGTTCGCATAACAGCGTTTCCTGCGTTATGTATGCCGGCCTAATGCACACACCACACCGGGCGGCGCGCACACACGCACACGCACACACACACATCACACACCCACCGCGAGCGCGCACCGCACACACGCACACGCACACACACACACATACGCACGCCACGCATGCACGCACACGCACGCACGCGCACGCACGCACGCACGCACGCACGCACGCACGCACCCACGCACGCGCGCACACACACACACACACACCCATTTGCCTTCGTGCTTTCAATGCGTATATTCTTCTGATGTATATGTCATAAAGCGGTTTTAGTATTAATTGACGACATTATTATATGGAACAGTGTGTCGTGATGAAAACGTATTCATATGTAGCATACGTACACTAATAGCAGTAAATACTCATCTACGCAATAAATATATTCAATGCTCACTCCTATAATTATAAAAATTAAGTGCGATCACTCAGGTGCCATTACCTACATTTATGCTAGCTTTTACGAGTACGATTGTTATTAGATTTTACAATACTTGAATTAGTGTTCACTATTATTATAGTAGTAACCACCATGATATCAGGAAACAGACAACATCCACATTACCCGCCGGACAAATACACGGCCCGGACACCCCGCGGCATACCCCCGTGTCGGCCACAATACCCGCCGTACAAATCACCCAGACTACCCCCGGACAATCAAACCACCCGAACAATTACCCCGACAAAT